AACTTATAATGGCGAACCACATAAGGCCCCGGTAGGTTAGGCGTGGTATTGAACCGGACGACAGCAGAGCTGCCTACCACCAAAGTTGGGTGGCGGTGGCGAGGCTTGAGCCTCGGATCATAGGGTCCAACGCACACCGGTGACAGCGACTAAACCACTGCGCCACCACCACCACACCATTTCGGTGAACACCAAAAAATTCTGTTCACCTTTCTTCCTGTTGATTGTTCTTCATTCTATCCAAACTGTGATAGCATCTGCTACAAACATGTGCTCTCACCGAAGCAGTTTGTTTTGTATCACGAGACAGATACCACTCGCTATTTCGTGGCCCTTGACTTCTGCAGATTTCTAGCCTCGCCAGAGAGCACTTTGATACACACACACACACCACTGCTAAACAGCTGCACTTCTGCTCGTACTTTCACGTATTAGCTTTTTCAAATCACCAAGCCCCTTATTTTGTAACGGAACTCTAGTTCTAATGCTGTCAAAGTAAGCATACAGTGCGATTTCCTGTGGCAGAATGAAAGGTGATCCTAAATATAGATCGGTTACCGGCTCAGGTTTTTGCGCGGTGAAATGCGTGCCTATAAGTCTGTTTTGAATGCGCATTCGATCATCACACGGATAACCCGGAAGTCCACTCCCTCTGTCCGATGATCATCGTTTTTACATGTTCTTTCACCTGCGTTCAGCTCTTCCTACACGAATATTTCTGTGTAGTATTGAAACCCAGCCGATCTGATTGCTTAAACGAAATGCAGTGAAGGAAGCTTCTTTGATCACCACTCAATGTACATGAAGTACATTGGAATGTTCAACATAGATGGAAGGTAGACCCATTTGGAGAGAAGGGAACATACAGTGAACCGCCGTGGTCAACACACTCACTCTTAAGCGGTGCAAGTGTGCTCTTCCAACATTTTAAGTCAGTAGGAAATAATAAGAACGCCACTGATACCACGTTTTGCAGTGTTTCCCGCTAAGCAGTTACTATGTGCTATGGATTTATACGCAAAAGACAAAGGACACTGTATCTAGTCTCTTTGTGCATTTCCTCATCTCCCTGCTGCCACTTGGCCTTCATACGATTTTCTCCTGCCCAGATCTGTAACTGCTAACACGGCGCAGGCGACAGCTAGGCATCGCAATATTTGTTCAAGCAAGCGTATCTGAATTCATTGGGATGATCAATACTCCTTCGAGCCATTCCCGAAGACGCGACGACTTACCTCAAGGTTATCTACCCGCCCGCTCCACCCTACCTTCGACAAACTATGTTAACATCGAAAATCTCCAGTTGATGAATGTGCTCTACTCGACAGTTAAAGGTTGCAGAATTGATTCTACCGCGGCATAGCATGCCGAACCTTTCAACTTCCGTGAAACATTACATCAACGGCACAGGTGGTTGAATCTTGCGTTGGCTACACGGGTCTTTTGAATGCGTGGGGTCGCCTATTTAACCGTGTTACCGTCATTCTTTACGGAACTGCTCAGATGTTAGATGCTCCTAAATTCAGTCGATTACTCGCCATTTGATTTTTAACTAGGGCTATTCGAAATCCAGTCTTGCAGGAACACGTTACACTTTGAAGATTCGGAGTGCTCATTGCGTGTCCTTCATACACTGCAGCAGATGGGCAATGAGGTCATCAAACTTTAACTTGCTCGACTTTTCTCCAGTTGCCCAATCAATATCAACATTTTGGAAACCAGTGTTTCGTCTACAACGAAATCAAACCTTAACACAAAAATTAGACACCGTTGATGAATGCCGCTGCCGGTTTCGAGTGATTTGCTTACCGCGCTCTCGACACTCCTATGTGAATGCAGTGGCCAATTTGATTATCTAACCTTACGCGTTAGAGGAAAAAAATAGCACATAGGGACGCAATCCTCGGGAGCATCAATACAGGCAATTGATATAAACTCAAGTGAAACATAGTTGGTGACAGCATTCAGATAGGGAGATAAATTTTGTGGCAGGTTACTATTAATACCCAATCTTCAATTGTTTCTCAGTTAGTCATTTCTGATGCTCAGAATGCTTGGCTCAGTTGTCTGATGTATTCCACATCAGATGTAATTGGGAATAAGAACTATTGTTATTGTTGTATTACCGTTTCGTTCGTCCATCTGGTCAGGTCTTATGCCAATAGGTTTCTGTGTAGTTCGTGCAAATGACCCAGACGTATGTGTGTGTTTGACATTGCAAACAGTATGCAAACTCACTTAGGATATCATTGGCCTTATGAAGGTTGAGTTCCAGGTATTATTTCGTTTTGCTTGTCTAGTGTTATGAGTCATACGTATAGATGGAGATCACTGGGCCAAAATGCAAGTGTGTTCCTATCGACAACAGTATTCAGGGTTTCCATTCCCCTTCTCAGTCAGTGTAAATGGCCAGTTGGTCTCTGGCAGACCGGAATTCTCTCACCAATCGACCGTGGTCATCGTCGGACACAATATCCTCTTTAAAGGACTAGTGCAAGATGTCAGATTACTGCTATGCGTCTCCGTGCCAAAATGAGTGGCAGATTGTTCCAGGTTGTTCAAACTACGACATTACATTGTGTAAGCCGTCACTCACATATCAAAGCATGGCTAAAGCATTAGGTAGGCACACTTTCTGTTAGGAACTGACACCATATAGTGAACAATCACATTCCAGTGTCTTGCCTGGTCTAGATTTACCTCTATATTCGTTCAATCAAAAGGGGTATATTCAAAAGATTATTCCACTTAGACTATCAATCAGGACCCTCTTTTTCAAATTGATTGGCTCGAATCTCCAGTGTGCTGTCATTGAAAATTTTAGAAATGTTTTAAAATTCATTTACTCATTGATTTGCGGCATTCAAATGGAGTTTCCAAACAAAATGAATTAAACTAATACCGAATCCCAAACTCGCCTCAGTCTGTCACTCCCTTTGGCCCACATCGACTCGTTGCGTTCCATGCTCAATATCCTCCACGCTATTGCCGTTCAACTCTGTCACTGGTCCTAATGCTATACTAATCTTCCTTGAACCTCGATCGTTTTGTTCGCCAATCTGAGTTCGAGAATGCCGGTTTCCTTAATTGCACACTTCGGTTCTCGTGCCAATGTGTGATCCATTCTCTCTGTTGTTCGTCACAATACAGTGTAAAAAATTGAAGCACTTTCTTAAATGATAAGGCAAATTTGTTCTGCACGCGATCTAGATCTTTCTATCCAATTTTGATCGTAGTTTTATTCAAATTTTTGTGAGATCTCTCATATTCGTGAGTTAGGTCCTCCCACAGACTGCCATAATCTACAATAATCCTTCCGGTTTTTCAGTGTTTGCAAGCGTTGGACTTTTTGCACAAAAATCAAGTCATTCATCGCGACATCAAATCAGATAACATCCTTCTGGGGCTGGATGGATCTGTGAAACTGACCGATTTCGGATTCTGTGCTCAGTTGAGCTCGGAGCAGACAAAACGTTCAACCATGGTGGGTACTCCGTACTGGATGGCCCCCGAGGTGGTAACACGGAAGCAATACGGTCCGAAAGTGGATATTTGGTCTTTGGGTATCATGGCTATTGAGATGCTGGATGGGGAACCGCCTTATCTCAACGAGAACCCGGTTCGGGTAAGTTGTGTATTAACATTGCATGTGTTCTCCAGCAGTCAGTAAGCAAACGAAAATCGCTTGGTTTTGATTCTTTTTTTGTAATATGGAAAAACAGTCCAACACCAGTAAATCGTCTATGATGCGAATCGAATTGACTGTAAAGTTATCCTGTCATAGACGTTAACATATCAGCATAACGTACTGCTTGCAGTCCTCACGTTTTCTCTGTGTTTGATTGTCAGGAGTTTGAAATCCATCGGATCTTCAATGTTCTCGTTTTCAAGCAGTCGGTGATTCGCAACTGGGAGAAATTCAACAGTATTTTTCGATCTCAAGCCTATCCGGTACACTAACGGTGATACCAGTTCCTTATTCCAAAACCCCAAGGAAGAGCATTTTCAAGCACCTGGGCTATCCACATGTAGATGGAAAGATCACATGTCGATTCCCATATACATTCGTGATGTGATGTTGTTTAGTTCACTCATCGTACCGGATGAGAACATTCATCATTAACCTACTGATTCGATAAGTAGATCAATAGTTCAGAGAATCAATTACCCGCAATATTTTCGGTTGCAAATTCACATTCGCTTACCTTACTCTCTGAACACACAGATTCGTGACCATGTGTTTGTTTGCGTATCAGAGTTGAACTTTATGCGATACTTTGGTGCTGAATGCTTTTTCCAATCGATCGGCTGCTAATTTTCTTCTGATAGACATATTCATCTGGTTACAACTTGTGTTTCTTGAATCATTTCCCAGTATACTGTGTGACTTCATTCTAAACTCTTCCAGTGGTTTCTCTCTGTCTGTTATCTTTTCCCCATGAGACTTAGTATGAGCAAGAAATTAGTCTTCCTATAAACGCAAATGTTTCCATATTGCCAGCGAAATCGATTTTTCGAACATCAGTGCGTTTTTTACCGGCCCGAACGTCTATGCGTTGCTCACAGAATGTAGCGCCAAGCCCGTTAATTAATCATGCTCGATGTGAAATGGTTGACGAATCTGCGTCCCAGCCGATGATTCTTCCTTGTAGATGACTGGCCTTCAATGATCCAACTAGTGGACATATGATCTTTGTGGGCCAGTGTGAATCACGGCCACGTAGATTGTGCCTCGATCGATTCCACGTTCGTGTGCTTTGGCACTAGTAATGGTGGGGAATGGAGAACTAAGCCGCACCTGTCGACACTCTTGTGGCAATAAAGTACATTAATGTGCACACACGCGCATACTAAGTTGTCTTTCGCTCAAACTTACACACATCCCTTCACACAAATCACGACTGAATTTCCCATGTTACCTCTGTTTATGTTTTTCGTTGGTCAATGCGCAGTTTGTTGAATAGATTCCATGTGTTGGTTCATGTGGATCATTCAGCTATCTAAGCGTAACCTCACATTGCCTGTCTTGCTGCCGATTCTGCCACCACGTGCGTTCATGCACGGTGTTTTTCTCCGGACCACATCTATGCGCAAATCGTCCTGAAGCAAAACGAACACATTTATTCTTCTTGATCCTCCATCATCATCATCATCATCCGACCAGCTCTGGTATGATGAAATTGATGTACACCATCTAACTCGCATCAATTGTAGAATAATTAAAGCAACAAACGAATAAAGTACTTTGTTAGAGCATACGCTTACCGAAGCAGTAAAACACGATGTTATTTATGGCATTGGAAAACCAATAGGTAGCTCGCCTCTTTGTCGGTCATCACGCACAAAATTCTGTCCAATTTAAGAATGCAATACCAGGTGCGGAATCAAGGAGCTTCAGTGGAGTGTGACCTCCCCCATACACATGCACACAATATGCACAAGGACCATGCAAGAGTAATATGGATTCATTTCTGTTAAACTCGAAATTTCTCAATATATAGGGTACCTAGTGTGGTGAAATCAAACGTTATGATAATGGTGATAATAGAGGCGTGCGAACAGCCCCAAATCATGGATAATCTACCAACTTTTTTGTTGAAAATCAGCAAAGAGCCCGACCGGGATGCAAAAGCTCCTGTTGTCCTCATTTGGAATGGGGAACCTAGGGTTGTAGAAATCCGATCCCGAGCTAATTGTTTTTGCGCTGCATAAATTCAGATTCTCATTTTTGTGGTGATGTTTTCACATAGTATGCAAGGAACACTCCAGTTATCATACGTGAATCACTCGGGTATAGAGCTGCTTGTTACCTTTCGCATCCCTAGGTCGCTGATAGGCCATCACCACCAAATTTGTGTAATCCCAGAATGAGGCCGACTATGGTTCGCTAAGAAAGTAGCATTGGCTGAAGAATGTTAGAAGCCGACAACTTGGTGGTTTATCATTACCCCAGCGTCGACCATGTGAAACGCTTAAAGAGTCTGACGATGCAACTATTACCCTACTAATACAGACATCACCCTTTTGTCCTATCTCATGTACTGGATAAAAAGAAGCGAACTGTGAAACACCGGCTTGGTTGTAGATTTCGTATGAAAATGTAATAATTAGAAACATTGTACCAGATACAGAGACTAAACAGTACTCATCTTACCTAGAATGCATATGGATCACTATTCTGACTAATGCTCTAACAAGAGTAAGTTGTTTTTAAATAAAGTATTTCCACTGTTATCGGGCACATCCATTTCGGCGTCTTGTCTCCTCGGAAATCTCTTGGGTAAATACACCACATTTCTAATTGCTTCGTAGACCGCGAACTGTTTCAAACTCTCGGCTCGTATTTCAATCGTTTTCACTCGAGCTAGGATAGAGATGCAATGTGTAGAGTAAAAGCCTTCCTTCCTCAAGAGATATAACACAGATCTTGGTTGTTAGCTTCCACTTTCAGTCACTGCTAGACCGGTATGCTTGTATTTCGCCTCTGAGGTACAGTATAGATGCTGCAGTTTGTCGTATTAGCTGTTATCTAGTAATTATCAACAGATGCCCATTGCGGATTGCGCTTCTCCTCCCAAACGACAGTGTCGGTCACCTCACGATTGAGGTCGGACGCTCCCTTTTTTCTTCCACTTTCACTCCCGTACTCACTATTGGAACCATAAATGATTGGAACTCCCGATTGCTTCATACAACACAGTGTACCGAATTTCGCAAGTAAACTACTGTTCTAGTCGGAGTAGTAGTCGGTTTCGAATCGTGCGAATTAGTATTCACATGGAAAGCCCACTGAATAAAGCGCAGTTAGTTGTGACAGAGGCGGGACGTGAATTCTTTTCGGAAGATAAGCATATAACTATTACGTATCAACCGCATACCGATCCATGCCTTCCTGTCCAAATGGTGTCAGAATGATCTGTATGTTAGCTAATCCAGTTGTGGGTGCTTAGTCCTATAAGATTCTCCGTCTCCCTAGTTCGGTATGTGAAAACTGCATTGTATACGACCATCCAATCTCGCTACACAACTGTGTCACTTAAAGGAATGAACAAGTATAGAAAGTGCTGTTTGACTCCTATGGTCACCCCTTGAACTTAGGTGCAACAGCCACTCTGCTTCATGACCTCAACTCATATGCTTGCAACGTCTGTAATCATCCCTTGATCGAATTTTGCCTATTATTGCCTGAGGGCGGTTGTTTGGCTGCTAGGTTATAGAATTCCCACGCACGCCTAATATAGCTTATTCGATTGCTACACTCGCAATACTCGTTACATTCCAATTGGTGCCGCGCGACAGTTTATCGATTTCTTGCATGACCTGGTGATTTCACACGAACTCAGTTCCATTTGGTATAGCGCAAACCTTTCATCCTCCTCCAAAACTGTTGCGTCCATTCTGCGTGTCATTAAAGAAACAAAATTCGATGTAAGCAATGCATGGTATGTAGTTGAATAACTTCAATAGAACCTAGATGAATAGGGTGCAAGATGCTCTCTTGTACATGTGATTCCGGTTCTCGTGGTTGTCACTTGCCAAATTCACACGTAAAAAGTAACCAGCTCGTTAGAAAACTTATTGGTTCCTCCTTTTCTGTTTATTTTCGCGTGTCATAGCGCATTGGTATGGGGATCCTATACCTTTTTCAAACACCTTTTGCCGCTTTGACTCGTTACGGCTTCACAATTTGCACATCGTGCATCGTCTCCGTCTGAAGTTTCGTATCTCGAGCCCTCTGTCACGCCCTCCTCTTAATTGCACTTTATTGGCAACCAAACAACTATGGTATTCTAGTTCGATGAACACTTCTCCTCTACCCGTATAATACCGTGTGTCATACACGATCACGGTGCTTCTAATTTGTTGATCACCATATTTGATGGCTTTCCTTAGTAAAAGAACCATGTTACACCTGTTTCATTAGGTTGTAAACCGATTAACAGTAAGTTCAACCATCTCTACAATTTTCGGAAGTCCTTCGAGAATAATTGCTTTACCTTTGAATGTTTATCGTTCTCTCCCACAGGCTTTGTATCTGATTGGAACAAACGGGAAACCGGAAATCAAGGAACGTGATAAATTAAGTCCGGAATTTCAAGACTTTCTCGATCGTTGCCTCGAGGTCAAGGTAGAGCAAAGAGCTTCCGCACAGGAATTATTGCAGGTGATCCCGATTTCGTTGTTCCCAATGGTTATGTTTAAGCTTGTTCTAAAATCCAGGATCTGTTTTCACTACTTTAATCTCCCCTGTCCCGAGCAGAAATAGGCCATATCTAGAAGTGACCGGCGTTTATTGCATCTGTCAGTTATTCTAAACACATTAAGTCGAACAGTTACTAATGTACTCGCAATACCTAAGTGCTCTTATGAGAATCTCAAAGATGGCCCTCAGAATATACCATCGAAGAGCCGCCAACTAGGCAAACACCTACCGTCCCTGTTTTAGACACGTTTTCACAATAATCGCGGCCAACGAACGGATTTCTCTTTAATGCATCACACCTAGTCTTCATCCTGTTTTATTTTGAAAATTATGCCCAAAGCACTAAATCGTGGTTGATAACACAACAGTCGATGTGTAGGATCACAAAAAGGTTTATTGTTCAGGGCTTCTAGCAGAAAGAGCGCCTAATGTTGCAGGAGTCTACATGCGACTAATCGTCAAATTCGCTGGTAGTCACTATCAATATCCTCATATTGAATTTATCGACGTGGTGCACATGGCATCCAGACCAAAGTCTTCAAACATAAATGCATGTCATCCTGACATGTGTTGTTGAAATATGTGCGTATGCAGCGCATAGAACGTTTTTATCCCTGCCTAGCTTATGACAGCTCGCTTGTGGACTGCCTTTCTCTGCAACTGCAAAGCATTTCGACTATTTATGCTACTCACAGTTTGTAAATAGTCTGATTATTAATCTGCACTATAATACCCTCTATTTCAGCATCCGTTCATTGTGAAGCGCGCCAAACCGCTCTCCTCACTGATGCCTCTGATCCTTGTCGCCCGGGAACAGGCGAAGCATCAGAGGAGTTAAGTTGACGGAATATCGCATATTTTAATAAGAGATACAAAATTATCGACTGCAATGGACAAGCAAGAACGCCACGATGTGCTCAACCAACTATTTTCATCCACTTTCAAACCGGGAGAGACAAAAAATCCAAGAGGTGACCTAACTACCCATCACTGTTATCTTCGGTTTTATTCCTTCGCTTTGATTCGTTCGCCCCCGGACATGCCTAGGATTCATACATACCTACCTCTTAACTTTCCCTCATTCGCTCTCTATCGGTCCATCGTGAGTGGTTCAGACCGGAAACCAATAATGTAAATAAAATCCTCCCCCTGGTTTCACATCATACACATACCTGCCCAAATGAACAACACCCACGGGTGTGTTATCCCTGAACAATAATCGTTCCATCGCGTTTTTGTCTTTCTGTTTGTTTATGGCTCCCATCAGTCAAACGTCAAAGGGTGATACGGCGGTGTGCAATCCTCCGTAGCTTGCTCTTGCAAACCGGGAAAGAGATCACCTGGAACATTTTTCAAAGCACTGCCTGAAAATCTCATACGCAAAGTCCTTGACCTTTCCGGACCACCCCCGTCCATCATATCCTTTCTGAAATTACCCGACAGTCATGTCTCAATACTCAAACCTCACCACCTCACAAACCCTCAACGTGTACTAAGCTAGCGAGAGGACGTCCAGTTGTTCACCAACGATGACCCGACTCCTCTTTTGTTCCCGCATCATACTTCATTTGTTTCTTTGCTCTGCACTTCGTGCAAATACATTGGTTACACCCGTGGACCTTGGGCGTAACACTGTGGATCTACTGCCCGTTTCGCTCTCTGCGTCACACGCTTGTCCATACGCCTAATGACTTTTACTTTGTGACTTTGAATTTCTTATATTTGAAGATGGTTATCCTTTTTTCTTTTCGCTCTTCACTTTTGTTTTCTAAGGGTATATAGTGTGCTGGCTTTAGGGTCGCCGGAAAGTCATGGATCTCTTATTAGAACTTCAAGGTCCTCATTGGAGTGTGATTCGAGGAACTGTTTAAGATTCGAAAGCAAATTTGCTTTCTTGGAATATAAAGCTCTAGCATTTCCGGATTCAGTATATAGCAGTAGCATGTGGAAGGCAGTCTGACAGGGTCACGACAGTAAAAACCGATAAGGCACATGCCCGTATCTGGCTACTGTCTAGGAGCCTAACTTATCCGTTTTCTAGTTTGCGCAACCTGGAGTGTAACGATGAAATTTATAGTAATTGAAAAGTTAGTCGGATTTAAAATATACTACATGCAATCCACCGTGCATTTGGATTATTTCCAAAAATTATTCCTACTCCATTAGAGTGGTGAACACGCACGTTGGGAATAGGTTATCTCTTTTCATTCGGTGAACAGTAAACAAGCTAATTGATTTTAATTTTCTATCCTAACTAAATCGAGGAGGTATTTCGCTGCAAACTGCTCATGCATTACCCTCGATCCTAAAACAACTAAAACTTCATTCCGAACAACGTGAAATTTTAGGTTTTCGGCTCGCTGATTAAGTGTTTAGCTACCATGCCCGAACCGGATGAAGCTTTCAGGAGATTTCGGCATAAAGTCGAAACCCAGAGCACATAAATCCGATGACTCAGGTCCTAACCTGCTAAAGTGCTTTGATGTGAACATAATCCTAATTGATTGCATGTCGCTTTTTATTTTTTTTATCAACGGAATTTCTCTCTCAAGACATTAATTACCGAAGCAAGACGACAGCTGAGTTTTTCACACAGCGTTGCATACAACAAATATGGATGATAGTAAGGAAGGATTAGTCGTTTTTTCCTCAAACTGTCGTGTGGGAATTAATGGCTCAATTTCAATCGCAGCCAAGGCCACGTGATGTGAAGTAGTTATCGAACGGAAAATAAAAGGGGCACATTCAAATCAGAAGAGAAACATTGCGAGAGGAATTCCTTTCGCATACTCTTATTGGTCGCGTACGAATAACATTGAGGAAGATAGACAAATGAAGCGAATTAGGAAATCTAATTCGGTTTAATCGCGTGTGATTGGTTACAAGCAGCGAAGACCAAGGGTATAACCATGCGCTTGGGACGCACAATCTGGGTTTGTTGTGAGCGATCGATAATGCCTCGAGCATCCTTAATCGGTTTTTATCTCGATGACGTAACAAAACCGAGAACGCGTCCGCGAGGTTTACCTAGTGACCGCTTTCAACCAAGACGCGTGCGATGGCCGAAGTCGGTCGACGTGATGCGGGGTGAGTCCTAGAATCACGCACATACTTGGGGATGTGCACAGCCATTCCAGTTCGCAGTGGTCGGTTGGTTCTACCACGCCTATCGGGGCCTTATGTGGTTCGCCACTACAAGTCCCGCGGCTTAGGTTGCGGTTTCCATCACTGAACAGTAGGTCCTCATGACTATGGGGTTCGCCCCGACTGCTGTTTATAACACTCGTGTGTGTAATTCAAGAAATGTATGCTTCGCTGTAGCTGCAACAGAAGGCGTAAATGCAATGAGGTATACTCGACTGGCTGACAATCTTTGAATGGGGAGGCCCCATGTGATCTGATAGTCCTAATGTGGCAGAATAGTAGGTACTTTGTAAAACGTTTTTGATAAGCTGCATCGTTGACTTCCCTTTGAATGTGGATAGTGGCTTGAGTCCGGTTTCCTGTCCCATTATGAAAACGAACGAAAGATTCGGGATAACCATTTATCCGTAATGCGCTAGAGATGTTCTCCTGTTCATTTATTATTGTATCCCCTGTACATATTTTTCTCATTCTATGGAACAACGTTCGAAATAGGGCTCTCTTGTTCCATTAATGAGAAAGTATTAAACTGAAGGTACTACCCGGACCAAGTCTCTATGCGGAACATGGATCGTTGGATAGCACCGTCACTTTTACGGGTTATTAGGACGCTAAGCTAACGAATTCTCCTTCTCTACTTCACAGGTGAATTTCAAGTTGGGATGTGCTGCGTTGAATTCATCCAGCAATACAGCCATATCGTCAAGGCAATCGAAGATGATGAAGACGTCATCCACATATCTTTTATAGAGAAATGTTCCCTTGATTGCCTCGTCCAGCCGTACTTCAATCATACCCATGAAAATGTTAGCCGGGATAGGACCAAGATGGCTACCCATCGCCACACTGTCTGTCTGTCGAAATTCGATACCTTGAAACTGGAAGCGCTGGTTTTCTGTGCACAGTAAAATGTGGTTTCAATAGCAACGGTTAGCAAGGTTAACACTTCATTTGTCTATCTTGCTCAATGTTATACGAACACAGCCGATGTGAGTATGCGAAGGGAATTCCTCTCGCTGTCCTCTGACTTGTCTGTTCAAATTCATTAGGACATTCGTTTGTTCAAAAAATTTATGTGGCATCGCCCGTCCATCAGACAATGGGTTTACCCCACTGGTGGCCAACGCTCAAATCTGCAGGAGGAGAAAGCTGATCTGATTGAATTTCTGTTTTGTTGGGGTCCTGTTAGGAACAATCCAGATAGCGCGAAATTGGTGGCAGTAATAACGGAGGTCGTCGATAACTGTCACACTCAAAACGCATTCGCGGGTCTTTTTTCACTGATGAAAGTGAATCTTCTCGATTGAGGTTCGTAGTGGAAAAATGGTTACACTTATTTATATTAATTTTTCACATGTACAGATGAATCTATTGCCGAATCCCTTCAATCACCTCCCAGCAGGTGGGATTCGAGTGTAGTCGTAGTGTAACCGGTTGTACGGTTAAACCTGAACAGGAACAGACATTTGCCGGGAATCACTTTTCCTCTACGATCTAATTGCAGGTTGATATTTGGGCTCAGTACCAACGATCTGAGCATCTGTTTAACATCAAAACTGTGTAACAAAAAATACTCTACGGTGGTCGTTCTCGGCATTTAAAGTGATCAGGGCTAAAGTTTTCTGGCCATTGACACCATAAATCTGGTCATCATTAAAACAAAGTTTCAGCAGAAAGAAATAGAGACTGTTTGTGCGTCCTCGGTACTCTGAAGGGAATATTCCTTCAGGACAGGATAGACATGCATCCTAATTTGCAGGTTTGCCGAGCTCAGTAATTTGTTTCAAACGGTCTATCACCAGCCATGATGCCATCGTGAGTGCTTCTGTAGTGGCCGTTTCAGTACGTTGTCAATAGACATGCATGTTTAATATCAACGACGCAATATACCCGGAAAACATAGGCCTGTCTCAAATAGTGTTACACACCAATTTCGATTGTTCAGAATAGGAACAAAATGTGCCATTTCTGAGAATACTGAGTGCATGATATAAAAGTATATCCCTTTGATACCCGATGAAAATTAAAGTACACGATAAAAAAACTTGCAGATATCTCAGTATACTGCTACAAGCGTAGAAAACAATGAGTGGAACGAATCTGCCAGAAGGCCACAAACATGGGGATAAACCTATTACATTGCAGCGAGTTCAATAGAACCGGAGGAAATATACAGACCAGAACAGGTTGATTCACTCAATAAAAAGGATAATATTTACAAGCATACATTCAGAGAGAGAGGAAAAACTACAGTTTGAACAGATTACTGGAAACGCTCAACGAACCAGGGACAGTTAAATGACTATTACCCTTTGTAAGATTAGGTGGGGCTCATTTTCGGAAAGACCTCTGGAAATTGAGCCACCGGATAACTCGTTCATTGTAAGTAGGTACCTCCTGCTTGTCAGAAATCTTCGCGGCGTTCGTAGTTGTAGCGGAACTGCAAATAGACTGATCATCTACATCGATACAACAGTCGACGTGTTGAGGTTGGAAAGAAATAAAAACAAGAAGAATAAAACCACTAAATACGGATGGTTAGTACCAATGTAAAAATAAAACCAAGAGCTACGGGCAATATACAACAGATCAGTAGCTGAGTATGTCAACTTTAGTCGATTGACAAGAAAAATTGGGCACTAACAATAAGAATCGCGAGAAACACTCAATGGTATCCGGGTCTCCACAGAAAGAAAGAAACAATTGGAAGAAACCGTAGCGCTTTCGAACTGTCGGACAGCCATATTGAATAAACCGTATAGACCGTTGAACCAAAGTGACCTCTATCACGTTCCCGTTCATACGGAAGAATCTCACAGTACGGATAGAAAAACCAGCTCCCAGAATAAAGAACAAGCAACCAGTCAGAAAACCAACTTAGTTTGTGCTACTCCCCAAAATCTCACATCCAAACAGCCACAGTCTATAGGTCAAGATAGCCAGATTCCGGGAACCCTACACAAGAGACAAACTGACGCATGAAACTGGACAAGTAAATTAAGTGACATCTAACGAGTCGGTGACCCACTACTATAAGCTGAAAATATATCTTTGTCGACGAAATGCGATAATCAGTGACGAGTACATTTACGGCGTTGTTTTAAACTTACCACATTCATTATTGGTGGAACTGGTGTCCAGACCCACGGGATATTCGTCGTAGAAAGCAGTGGCACTATTAGATCCTGGAAAAGAGGACATTAAACTATAAAGAAATCTTGACGGACAATTCTAGACCTACAGTATAATACAATGAAGCAAACTTCACTTATCGATGTAAAGAACACAATGCGGTCGCGGTGGAAACTTTTTTGTTGCGTCACTTGAGTTGCATTGGCGTGTACACGTGATCCAGTTCGACTTGTGTGTGTTTATTGAGTTGATTGAAGAGTGCCAAGTCCCGAGAAATTCTCTGGCGTGTTTTGATCGATGATTTTTTCTTGTATGTTTCACTTTAGATTCAATCGCAATTGAAAGGTCAAAGGGTACAAACCAGACAAAGCTATCTCACAAAGCCAGCTGTTCAGGCATCTGGCTTCCTTCGTCTATCTACAATCGCCCCGGAAAAAGTCAATCCAGCAAATAAATACGGTGAAGGGCAGTTTACCGGTCAAAAAAACCCGCTAGATGAATGAAGGAGCGGGGTACCTGGAGCTTCCTCCGGTCGGTGGGAGAAGTCTTCGCACTTCACTTGATAGTTGCCGCCCGCCCAAACTGGACAGCTCCCAGCCAGTAAAATGCTATCCCGTCCCTGTTCTGCTTGTGCATGAGGCTAAGGGCCGATCCCGAAAAGCGGACCGTCGATCAATCAAATTTTCACTTAAATGCAATCAATGTTCGCACACTCTACCAGATTGGTCAACAAGTTGCCTTTGCTAGAACTCTTGAAACCTTCCATTTAGACGTGTGCTGTCTCTAAAAAGCGCCCCGTTAGGCTCCCTGGCTGGGGACCGCGGGATGATGATCACCGATGGTTAGCTACATTGAGTGATATGGCTGTGTCGCAAACAGTGGCGCTCGTGCATCAACTCGTTATTTTTCCAACACCACTTTATATGAATTCCCCACCTTTTTCGCTTGAATTTGCTTCGACATTCCAATCTACATTTTGCCCTTTATCCAGATGGGCAACCAAAAGACAGCAGTCAAAACCGGCGCACGAAATTGCATGGTTAATGGTTGTAAAAACTGAACTGAAACTGGCCTTCGGACAGAGAACGTAAAAAGGAATTCTCAATTTTTGCAAGAAATGCTGTGATATGATTCGACTGAATTCGATTTTAGTTTAAGTGACTGTAATGTACTTTACTACAGTTTTCAATAAGGGTTTTACTATACCTGAAAAGATGAATCCAAGCAGCAAAAGTATGGTTCGTTTGGATAATCTTTGGTAAAAATGGAACACATTCTACAAAAAACGATTTAAAGAAGAATTCAGAGTCTATGCATTGCAGCGAAGGAGTTACTTTGGAAAATTCTGCCTTGCATGCAGGGAAATTAGGTCAGCCGATTAGGATATTGGAAACAGTATATCGCTGGTGTACTTCGAAACTGGTGTGATGCCTACCGATGCCCAATGGTTAGGATCCTTTTTTCAGTCAAGCATTGACTGAATGAGACTCAGAGCCCGCGAGACCAGAATTATCACCCACTCCCTTCATAGGGCAAGTTGACGGCTGTCTGGTCCGCTGGATAGGTTGAATTTCACTGAGCGTGGTTTACTAGATATATTGCTTAACTCTATAATAAAGTCAGAGGTGCAGAGGGTAATGTTTGTGTTCGTTTTTTCAGGATGAAGGTCATCAGCAATGCGTTGATTCAAATAGTCGATATTCACGTGTGGCATGCGAGAATCATGGATACGTCCATTCAACTGTCGTCACGTTCTAACTTAGTGTATACCATTTCAGTTGCCTCCATTGATGAACTATGTCATTTATTGGATTTAAATGAAAAAATACAGCCGTTTTTATGCATAATTGCAATTCTTAAATAGACCGTTAAGGACATGTTGTGATGTTCGCACGCAGAACCACTCTGACGCACGCATGTTGATGGAATCGATCGTCAAGTGGCATACTTTGGTCATGCTTATGAAAGCATCCACACACACACACACACACTGCTAGACAGTAGGCATGTGAGCGCAAACTGACGTGGTCACCGCGCTGAATGAGTCTTGACAACTCGGATGTTGCACGCTCGTGATCAGATTCTCCGAATTCAATGAGAAATCCAAAGAAGTGATGACAACCAGTCACATACGTGTATATTCCAACGTCGTAGTTCTTTCACAAACTTAGCGTATAAACTTTAGATCTTAAGAAAATATATAATTACTGATGAAAGCCTCCCTCGTGGTAAGAAAAAGACCTGTTTTCTAATGCATGAGAAATGCATCAGTACGAACGCCACTAGCAGGCTATAACAACTTAAAGCACCTTATCAAACACAAATATTATTTCGATCAATCCGCTAATAACGTGCAGAGTTGAAAGCCGAAACTAATCCTTCAATGTGCTTTACGTTTGCTTGCCTCAGGTGTATTTCTGAAGAATGAACATCCTCTTTAGGGGGAAATTTTCATAAGGTCGTGTATCTACACACTGACAGGATAAGTCACTTTGCCCTTTGTTAAAAATAATTGGTTTACCCTTCTTTGCTACAGGTATCAATTGTGCGCGCTTGTGTGAACGTTGTTAGCCATTCGTAGAACATATCTGGAGTTTTCTGACAAACGGGGTCAGTAGACGTTCTGATCTGCCGTCCATTTATTACCTATTGTTCTTAATCGTCTACGATAGAAACTGATACCGACTGAAGTGGTCACTACAAATGAGATGCTCACCCATTCTTACATAGATCCTAAAGATGACAGTTCTATGTACATATATAATAAAATAAGTAGCTTATGAGTGATTCGACAAAATTTCCCTGAAAACACAGGACTGTTTCGCGGTTCTTGCGGCTCTTCAGGCATGCGTATCTGATAATATTTTGTCACTTCAGGACGTGCATCTAACTAACCTACAAACATCAAATCATAGGATTGATTCAACAATGGACTGGTTCTGAAAGAGCTGTCCAAAGATATACACATATATACAGAAATTTTCATCTCACGACAGTTGAAGTCGCTAGGGCCCATGTATTCTGTTTGTATGACCAATGAGAAAGAAATTTCTGGTTCTTAGTGATGAATTAAAGGTGATTAATTTGGTCGAGAATAAAATTTCTCCCAATACAATTGTATATCAATTTAATTACCAAAGGGCGTATGTTCGTATAATCGAGGAAGTAGAGACTAACATCCAAACAGTAGGAGCAGGGAATTTAGGCTGCATGGACGGTCATACGCTGGTGGAATCATGAAGTTATAACTGTGAAGCAGGGATAACTGAGATCAAAAATGCGGCATAAGTTTTCACCACGTTCATGCATGGAATTTCTTTTCTTTCCCTTTTTCCTTCTTTTGATTGAATATAAAAAGATACCGTTTTCAGGAATGGAGAAGCGGGAAGTCAAAAAGCTGCCATTGAACACAATTTTGTTGGATTCGAACACACGTCCTCCGGAGTGATGATTTGATGTCACCACCGGGCTACCTCCGCCCGCTTTATGTACAAAATACAAAACAGAAAAGCTGCTAGTCTTTTACAGAAGACAACTAAACTAAAAACAATAAACGTAAATATTATATAAATAACCTTAAAACTTTGTTAGTTTCAAATTTAAAAAGCAATTAGTACCACAAATTCCGTAGAAACCAGTCAAAGGGTAAATGGTTAGCAACAATGTTTTTACTTTTCCGGCCGTGTTTTGAACTATTTTTTCTCCCCGAGAAGCAAACAAGTTTGGTCGGTTCATAGGATTTTCACTCTAGGAAGTGAGCACCGTATTATTTTCTTCATATTTTTTCGTTACGAGGACATATATGATTTTTTTAAAGATAAAAACCCACCTCTTATAGGACTTTATATGCAATAGACTCAAACAAACCTTGTGATCATTGATAAGGATACTAGAAATGCGGAGTGAATTAGACGCATAATACAAAAACAGTGACTTCTTATCTTTTGCCATGAATTAAAACGCCTTAGGGGAATTTCCCGTTTTATCATACATGCCACGTACCAACAAGTCCATTAGCGCCTGCTAGGACTGCATTCAAAAATTGTCCCGAACTATTTTGCATTGGATTGTTCTGATGAAAAAACTGTAGATGAACTCGGCGCTTGCTTAATCTGAAGTAAGATGAGAGTGCTGCAAATTTTTGGGCAAATAAACTGAGTGTTGACTATTCGGATTACATTGCTCACGGGTTGGTAACCGCATGTTGTTGATCGTAAAATTGTTCATTCTATGATGGTCATTCAATGGTGAAAACAAAGGCATTTCGTTTGCAGACGGCTAAAAATGACATTCAGCTATCTGTGCTCCTATGTGCAGCTTTCGTTCAAACTCTACCTGAATCAGTCACAAAACAAGAATCAGCACCACGCTCGTCTAACCTGACCGGTCAGAGATGTTCAAATGCTTGCGCACAAGACGATGGCAACAGTAAATACTTTCTTTTTAGGACCAAAAGATCAGTTGCGTAAGTTAGATTCCTCACACGTGATGTGTAACGGCATTGAAACCGAAATGGTCGGACAAGTGTTCATTACTCATAATTGTCTTACATTCCCTGTCACTTTCAGGCGTACAATGGTGGAATACGGTGGACACTAACAATGAACAATTAGACGACTCAAGAAATACACGAGAACTCATAATAGATACAAATCTTTTGTACTCCTCCTCCCCAGATACAGTTTGTACATTGCATTTTGCCCCTTCGTTCTGTGCGTCAATATACGTTCGTGCACGACAGTCGTGTCTGACAGTGAGAGAGCGTTTCCGCGGGTCTTCATACGTGCTGCGTGATTTCCGTACCCACGTCACATCTGCTGTCAGAGATGGGATCATGGAACAACGAAAGGAAGAATAATCAGTAACAGCCACCCCCGTTGTACGCCCACTCAGTCTAGCCGATCGAGCTCAGCTCCGTCAACCGAATTTATTCTCTTCGGGGGACGACTTTGAGTTGTTGGAAGTACGGATGAGGAATTATCTACGCATGCAGCCGACGATGGAGTTGCAGTGGTTTATTGTCGGATATTTGTCCGACAATGCAGTAAGACGGTTCCTCAGCTGTCGCCTGCCCCCAGACACCGACCCCGAAACGGTATGGAGCCGCTTAGGGCGGCTATTCGGCGATACTAAACCCACCGGCATCTACTTTGGACGCTTCCTGGAGCGCAAGCAAACAGAGTCGGAGTCGGTGCAAGACTATCTCGGAGAGCCAACGGAACTGGCACTACGACAGTTTCTGGGCGTTTCGGCGGATGAGGTTGAAAAGAAGATCCTGTATCGATTTCGCACTGGCATCCACAGACCCGAGGCTCGGGTACAATTATTGCGTCGTCCACCGCCGACATTAGACGAAACAGCGGAGATAGCCACCAGTTTCGAAATGGCTTCACAGGCGAGAACATCCTGCAACGCACGTGTCAGTCCCGATCCCAGGGGCCCCGCTCGTTCAGCTCGCGGTCGGGAGCGGAAAAGAAATACCGCCCAGAATTGTCCGTGCTGTACTCGGTCCAGTCGATGAACCCAACGTTGTGGACACAACCCCCGATACAATCCAAACAGTGAACAGGTAAACCGCCAGATAATATTTTGGTACCACTGCTTCTGCTTACCTTGTGCTCCGGTCCGTCGCCCTTTACAGATGCACACAAACGTTTTCAGGCTAAAATGAAAATCCCCCAAGTACAAAACCACGAAAACCAAAATTATACCCAGAATGCACTTTGCCCTCATTTGAACGGTGTTGAATGGAATTAGTATTGCCTGTTCAATGCCTGACAAAGTTTGACTTAATCCCGGCGATTAACGTGCAGAATGAAAGTTCATCGTTTATTTGACCACCGTGCGGCCGGTCAACAAACCGGTACACTTCACTTTGCATTTGTCTAATTTGAGTTGGTGAATAAGTCATATCCTCACTGCTTCCAGTTCTTTCGTTTGGTTCGACAAAAGTATTCGCTAGATAATCGATACCAAACAGTTTCGCTTCAATCTAATGAAACTGTTTGTGTTTGATTTTGTACTCATACCTCTGTGAGTCAAACAAAACTTACATATTGATCAAAAAATGGACCGTGCAAACACCACGGATGAGAAACTGTGAGAAAAGGTGAGAAAATGGCAAACAAAAAACGAGTTAGATCACTGTGATTTGATCCATATAATTTAATTCTTTCCCAGATCGATTCGCAGAGAGGACTCAATTTTTTCTGAGATCTCTCTCTTACTTGATCGAGAATACTGAACTCACATATTGGAATAAAAACACGGTTTACTTAACAGACCTATTTTCATAGTCATCCACTAACTTTAATGTGGTGCATTGTTTTGTATAGATAAGGAAAATAACTAATCAAGAGCCAATTGAACTGTTTTGTTGTTTTTTGAGTTTCACAAACTGGATTTGATTAATTCTAAGATCAAGCGTGTTTTTCATTTCAGATTGGGTGAAGAGCTCCATCTTTGGATGAAAGGCAATGAATATATGAATTCCAATCGCTTCCGTTGTGGGGAAGATGTGGCTTATAATCTGGCTGGGGTCGGTGAGTCCGAATCCATTTGAAAAACATAGTAAATCACGGTGCGACTGGACTTAATAGTGTGAAACAAACTACGCTTTTAATGTATCTGGTTTCACTGATGCTCAGCCAGGTTGGATGGTTTTGTCAAACTCTGTTAAGTGCAAACGATGCATCATGAAGTAGGTTGGGATTAGCAAATTGATGAATCGCGTAAAACGAGGTTTCCGGCCAAACCGTCTTTCAGGCGGAATCTCTCTTATACTGTGGGTAAGTTGCTGATGCACCCATTTTGCTACAGAACGGGCACCTTCCGGGGAAGCCAAGACCATTCCTTGTTCAAATGAATCCCCTCAATTGTGTTTACAATCCTCATCTAACACGACTTTTCCGGTTTGCAGATTACTACTCTCCGTAGGCGATTCACTGTGCGCATGTTGATATTTTTTCTCTAAACAATCAGCCATGAAGTTTTTGTCATAATGCCTGAGAAGATTGGGCTTTTTCGACTATCGAACGATCAGTCTGCAATAATGCCTGTGGAAAACATTTTGAACTGTCTGAATAGGGCTTATCACTGAATACGGTCCTCGACATCATCCTCTTTACAGCAACAGCAATTGGACAAGTACTAGAAATGCATCCTAGAAGCCTGAATATGGCTGGGTTATCACTTGTACCAAAATCCAAGAATCCTAATTGAATCCTTTATTTGGCGTCCATGATTCCTTGTGGCCGATGCAATACCTTTGCTCTTGGTTTCAGCGAACTCGGAACTGTGGAGAAAGGGTTAGCTAAACGGTTGTGTTGATAGTGGAGAAAATGGGACCAGCAAAAGTTTGTGACATCTATCAAGAAACTATATTGCACTCTATTGTACACTGTTGACCCGTCGTTGTACATACCTTAGAACCCACGGTATCTTCCCTGACTAACAGCCGGAAGTCCAGTTGGTTTATCACACAGACTGAAATTGGTCGTTCTCCCGTCGAACCAGGTGGGAGCATTTCGCATACTCACGGGGAAAATAATTTTCATCATTTTATCGTCCAAACTGACACAAGGCGATTTCGAACAAATACCCCCAAAGTATTTCATATCAAATCGCTTTAGATTTCTTGTTCAAAGTCCAGAATCCAATAAATTTCAAGCTTTTCACTCGTGATCAATTGAATTTTTGCAATTTAGTAACATGGCTCTAATCTGTTTATCGACGCGATTAGTTTAGCTTGGCTCAGTGCACTGTCCGATGCAATAGTCTAGCACCAATTTTATCGATCGCGAACTATGAATAAAACCCTGACACGTGATGTCCATGTGGATTTTTGGTCAGTTAGATAAGGCCGTTGTGTTTTCACCAGCACAGTGGATACTTTCAGTCGTACATTGTAAGTGCCATAGAATGCAATCGGCTGTGGCTAAAGGCAAGACGTGATCGAGCACTGCATTAACCTGGAAGTTGACTGAGGCAAAAGTTCAATAGGCCAATATTTCCAGACAGCTTTGCGATAGAGGCGGAACTGAAATCCATTGACCAAACGAGAAACAGATATATCTGCTCTTTGATTTTCTTTGTTCTACTAAAATGATTGGTCATTTCGGTATGTCAGTCTATGAAGTGACTTAAGTGTTCCAGTTTGGTTTGTACCCTTAGAACACGAATGCTGCCATAATACTAGGCATGATGAATCACAACAAATTTGGATAACAAGTGACTGACGTGCATTATTTTACTAAAAGTGACCAAACCCAAAGAAATCATTGATGGCCCCTGTCTGCTTCTTGACACCGTCTACTCTGAGTCAGTTTAGAATAGGACGATCGTCGAACCAATTTAACCAATGTGCGCACTGCAAGAAAGAGGTGAGACTTAACTCACATCCACACTCATGACTGATTGCGGGTTCCAGTGAAGGTCATTACGATGCATGCCGATGATTCTCACTTACTTATACTTTAAATCAGTGTACATGTTTACCGTTTGTGGATACTTTCGCGGGGCCTGTTGGAAATGAGTACTGGGGCAGCAGTGTACCAAAATGCCACAATACTTACATGTCTACCTCTCCGTAAGCTCTCACGGGTCTGGGCAATTTCGGATTGCTCAGAAGCCAAACAAATTGATACAATGAGTGGAAAAAATAATATTTGAAAGGAATAAGAATGTTTTACTTCTTTTTATGCAGTAAGCATGCAATTCTACAGAGAATTTCCAGGGTCTGAGACCAATTATAGGCAATCGTGGGGAAGATAGGCGGTAGTCGCAGTATTTGAACTTAAAACCTTACGTTAGTTAGTTACGTTGAAGATTACCAGAGCTGCAAGCTTATCATTGCCCAAACGCAGCAAGAGAACGTCTCTATCAAAATTTGGTCTCTCAAGAGGATTTGGGGTGAAGAAGAAGTCTCTGAAAATGAACCATATATGTGCTAACTCATGATTTTAGTCGGTGACATGCGATCTGACGCCTTGCTTTCCTCTAACTTCTTTTCAGACATACTGTTTACGATTCTGCTATTTGATGGGCGCATAGACTAATCGCAAACATCGAAGAATGAACAGATTATCAGGTAAAAAGGATTATATTGCATTTTAATGACATTTGAAGGCATCTGTTCCCAGATTTCGGCTAAAAGTATAAACATTCATCGTTCCACTGGAATGAAACTGATGAGGGTATAACATATTACAATGGCATATTGCTAATTGAATCAGGAGCGTCTATCTAAATTTACAAGAAGTTCCTATATGAGCCCCTTCTCACCAGTCGTCATTCGAACCAAATAGTATAAAACTGAATTAAGATAAATGCTTATATGGGTTGCTAAGCAACGCAAACCGGACCTGGTTAAGGAACTGGAATGACAGATGAATAGATAGTTAGTGAGGGGACGGATTGGGTAGCTAAGATTATTATAGACACAATTCTAACCAGAGGATAGTCATACAGTTTGGTGATCATAACGTTTGTGGGAATAAGAAAAACAGCTAATAATTTCCAGGTTGCGGCGAGAAGTATTGATATCCTTTTTAAGCAGAAAAAATGGCAGGGTAACAGTAAATTATGATAAAAAAAAGATGAACTAATGAAAACATTACAAACAGTTGAATGCTTTACTCTAGTTTGTTTCCGTTACGTAACTAGAAGAATAACCCACCTCTGGTTTATACATGCGGCGAGCACATTAAATTGACTCCTACAATGATTTCTAGATATCTGGCGATGTGTTCTGTGGTTTTGCTTAATGCAGTGTTGTCTTACAATGCAGATAACAGAAGCCTAAAATACACTTGAGGTATTCAGAAGCGTTCAAATGGAAAGCAGATTGATAGGAAAATATTATTGTTCGTTGGATCTAGGGCGTGTTTGTATTTGTGATACACTATCAGAAAAATATATCAGTTTAGGCCGGTTTGAGGTAGATTTACATAGAACCAACCACATTTTATCCATAGTTAAATACCTTTGCCAAGTGATAGAGGGAATATCAATAATAGTGTCGAAAATAAGAATGGAGAGAGTAAAACACCCCAAGTGAATTCGAACTAGCGATGGAGGGTTTCAAAACGATTCCGCTAGGCTTTGTTCTTAGAATTCGTCCACAGAAATAGAATTTTAAATATTAAAATGACGCAATGATTCAGGTGTGTGGCTGTAATTTTTGTGGAAGAATGGATTACAGAAAGAAATTGTAGACTGAAGAATACTTAAGGAAGACACAAATAACGCAATTTTAGTAATTACCTAAAGATTCACGGATAAATCATGAAGAGGCAGCGTCGAGCGTTCACCTATTAGGCTTATACTCCTATTGAAGATGTCTTTGGGAAAATGAGTGACCTTCAAACCGAACGACATTAGTTGTGAATGTACTTAATATTGACGGCCCCTTTCACATCCACCGAATTCCGGGATTTTTATTCCACATGGAGGGGTTTGCGGTAAAGTGGAAAACCATACTGCAGCAGACATATTATAACGGTCGGGTAGAGCATATTCCAG